GGGGGGGGATCAGGGGGGCATGCCCCCCTGAATTTGAACATAATTTGATGTTTTGCCATTAGCCTATCTAGGTTTGATAGGCTATCTCTCCACATCGGCACACTCATCAAAAAGTAATCATTTAGAACCAGAAGTAATCGTCGGTGGGGTCAAAACTAAATATCCCCAGGCCCACCAAGCGGAACCCATTCTTAAAGTACCTCCACTTTTACCATTTTATTTTATAATCTTTTCATTTCTTTTGAAATGCATTATTTAGGTTTAGATCTAGATCTAGACTAAATCTAGATCTGGATCTGGATCTAGATTCTAGATCTAGAATCTAGATTCTAGTCCGTCAGAGAGAGTGACTGTGACGGCGCATAATAGGCTTCTATTCATCTATTGTAAATTAAATAAATTATTTCATCATGAATTTCATGGCATCATTAACATTGTGCGATGCGACAATGCGAGAACAAAAATAATTAAAGGGAACAACTCGCATGTTGGAAAAACAAAACGGTTGTATAGGAATCTATTCGTCGAGAGCCGCAGTTGACTGTATCAGAACTGGTTTTTGAGAAGTTTACCTTGAAGCTTTGCTCAGTCTTTGACCTCTCAAGCAGGCAACACGGTTTACCAAGCGGGCAGCCATTTTGCTGAAAATATAACTCTTATGGGTCAAGAGAGTGGATAAAAGCGTTTCCATCTTCTTTCCTGGAGTCAGAAAAAGCACACGAAAAACCCTGGAAAAACCAGAGAAGTTATGTAAAACGAAAAAAGAAACGCGACAATGCGAGAACAAAAATAATTAAATGGAACAACTCGCATACGAATCCATGCATGCTGAAAATTGGAAATCTTCCAATTTAGAGAATTTCATTGATTCTGTTTTTGGCAGACTGTAGATCTATGGAGCTTCGGTAATCATAATTAATCCGATTTTCAAATGAAAAGTAAAAAGCATCTTCTCCCTGAAAAATATAGCATTACATTGGACATACGATTCAAATTCATATTATAATATCAACTTTTAAACTAACTTGAATTCATAAAAATCCCAAACTTGCACTCAACAATCTAAGTTTTAAAACTAAAACATAGGCCAAGTAATGCCGTTGTTCGCACACAGACGCACACCGGGTTTTTGTTTGTTTGTTTGTTTGTTTGTTTTTTTACCCGGTAAGGGTGTGGGGTGGGGGGGGGGGTGTCTAGAGATACTTCTCTCATTTAAAAGGTCCCGGGTTTGAAACCTGACACTGACAGCTACGGACCATTTTTTACTTGAAAAAAATTTCTTCTGTCACCTTTTCTGCTCTCTAATCACGTTCAGTCATTTGCTTTCGTCTCCATTCTCTGCTCCCCCTCCCCCCCCCCCCTTTCTTCCTCTGCTTCTGACTCTTTCTGCATCCTCTACTGCTACTCCGTGGCTCCTTCATTCTTACTGCTGCCTTTGAGCTGCACCCAAGGACTTTACAACAAAAAACCCCTTGGCTACACCCCTGATCTTAAATGAAGGTAAGATCTAACACCTAACCTGTTTGGATATATAAGTGCGAATAATCTCTGAGGTCCCGTGTGCAAGTTGCGCACGTTGAATATCCCTCGGTAGTCCTTAAAAAAAAAGGGGGGGGGGGGGCTACACCTGAAGGCTATCTCGCTTATTTCAGGACCAAATTTTACCAACTTTCACACACATAACATGCATAGTAAGGAGTCTTAAAGTTTGCAATCAAATCTGAGAAAAAATTAGTTTCCATGGATACGGCGGCCATATTGGATTTTGTTGACATGTCTCACGTAATGAATACTGACTTATTGCTCATGGAAATTAATTGTTTTTTGCATACGTATTAACAAACATTAGATCTATACATTTATCTGTTGTTTTTTTCCTGAACGAATTAGAACATTTTTAATGGGGTTTCTTTTTCCGGAGGTAGCATCCAAGTTTGCAAAAAATCCGTGAAAATCCACACTCCAGACACCACCAACACAAATTTATTCGATCTATAATATATAAAAAATTCAACCGACACATTTTTAGAATTACATGTACATCTTCTCTTCATTCTGTGAAAATGTTATGAAGATTGGATGAAAAATGGTGGAGTTATTTTTTAAAAAGTATAGAGAAAAGTCGCGTTTTGAGAAAACGGCCGATAAAGAAAAAGAAAATAATATTGACTTTATGAAGAAATGGTGGTGACAAACTTGCCCAGTATGGGAAAAAATAGGGTTTTTGGGGGGTTCTTATACGATGAAATAGTTGTAGGAGAGGCTGAGGAAGCTAAAAGTGCTTACAATTCAAATTCCATAATTTTGAGCCGAAACGGGACTTTTGGGGTGTACCCCCCCCCCCCCTTAAATCGAAAAGAGTAGACTTCGGCCGCCACCCCGGCAAAATTCAAAATTCAATCCTACCATACTGAACTTGCTTATGTGTCCCGCATGCTCATATGACCTCATGCAGTTGCGAATATCGTAAAACACTTTTTTTTAAAACACAACAAAAGACAAACAAAAAGTAATTTTTCTTTTTCTTCTTTCTTTTTGAGTGTGTTTTTTTTTTTTTTTTGGGGGGGGGGGGGGGGACTCAAAATGACATATAACATCTTATAGAACAAAAAATATTTGATTTCTTATTGGTCATGCTTGTACAAAAATCATTTAGATTCTACATCTATCCATAATTAGATCTACATTAAATATTTGCTTAACTTCCTGCTGAGTAGGCCCAT